GTATTGTGGAACCTGGCCTTGGTGCGGCAGGGGGAGTAAATCCGGCCCTGATGGTGACATCCCTGACACGTTCAAAAGGTGGTTTTTGAAGGGTCAATAGAATCAGATTGAGATTTCATGGAGGCACAGCCACGTGATACCTCCAGTACAAAAGCTAGGACCAATGAAGAGGAAGCTAGCGACCACTGGAATAACATTGCAAGGGCTGAGATCTGTCCCCTGATGGTACTCGGGGGCCAAATGTTGATCTCGGCCTGACTGCAGAAAGGTTAGAATACGGCCCATAGAGTATTTCCTGGGCCAGAACTTCTTTCTTCACACCAGGCAACATAAGCCTTCCATGTGCCATGGTAGACCTCACCAAGAGGTAGACTTACTAGCTTTTAATAGTGTAGGCAATCTCTGGCCCTCCAGCTGTGGGTGAAACTACAAATCCCATTATGCATCTGCCTCTAGGAGTCATGCCTGTGGCTATTAGTCTTGCAATGCCTCATGGGATTTGTAGTTGCACCATAGGGGGAGGGTCGGAGTTTGCCTACCCCTGCTGTAGGGATTGCCAAACCTGAGAGACACCTGTCTCTGCAGACATGGGCTTCAACATCCGTGACCGTGAAGCATTCCAGATGATCTGGAAGGGCCCGTGCTGTGTCTGCCGGATGTGTGATCAGGTCGCAGTACTACATACTCCTGGATCAGTTGGCAGCGGTGTCACCTGGTGTGCACATCATTACTTATACATGTGACATCACTACGCACATGTGTAATGACATCACGTGCACTTCACTTCCAGCTGCCATCTTGGTGAAGGACACTGGTAAAGAGAGGAGGGAATGTTCATAACACCCAACTGACAGTGGTGTCACAAGGGGGGGGTGCGGCCCACGCCGGGTGACACCATCAGAGGGGTTGTCAGCCCCTCAGAAATGTCGGGCACTCGGACATGGTCCAACAGCCCGACTGCACCCCTCCGGGTCCCCATACCTTATCCCGCCGGTCCCCTCCTCTCTTGTGCAGCTGCTGAGCTCTCGGTCTATGACTGAGTGCCTAACTTTTCAGAGGGGGTGACACCAAATTGACTGTCAATCATTTTGGTGTCACCCGGTGCGTGCCGCACCCCCCTTGTGTCACCCCTGTCAGTTGTATGCTATGAGACTGAGCGCGGTGCCCTCCATCTTGCTGCCCCTTTGCAGCGCAGGGAAGGCATAGATCAGTCACCAATCCCCAAATAATACTAATATCCTAA